AAATGTATTTACACCGAATTTGAATATTTTAACTTTTTAGCATTTTAAAGTAAATTAGTTACCAGTCGTGAAGTGAACTTTCGCAGAGGTGAACAACTTGTGTTTCGCGCGCTCATATGACCTTAGCAGTTGCGAGCGCCGTAAAACCTTATACTACTACTACTACCAAAGGGGGGACATTTCTCGTTCTAATGCACAGTAGAATTGTAAATGGGCTGCTTGAACAATGTCATGCTCATGACTGTGCCTAAGCTACAACAGGAAACTGCCGCTTTTTCTTTCCTAATCCTTACTATCGTCATTTTCCTCTACTTCTTTTGTATGTTTGTCACACTCTTGTGACCTGCTATTTCCGGGGTGCCTTGATAGTAGAAGCAGACTTTGAGCTGTTGAAGCAAGAGAGGTGAGCAGAGTAAGTCTGATTCCCTGTAAGGATTTCTCTGTTGACTTCCACCCCTTGGCGCTCATATGACCTTATGCACCATCTAAGTGACAGTATGACGGCGTCTAAGCGTTTGAATCACATTAATCAACGCCTCTCAACGAGCGCCAATGGTCGCTTGGGCATTTGAGTTATCGACAAAGGGAAATTATTATAGTTTTAAGAGTAATTGTTAAGTTAAGAGTAATTATTTCTGTTATTTGATTGGTTCTTCTGGGGCAGGACTGTTTTTGGCCTCATTGAGTAGGTAAAAAGGACCATTCATCTTAACGTTCAATTTCTAATGGATGTTTTTGTTCTGTGTGTATCAAAGGCAACGTACGTTTGTGACAACGGGGTCGGTCGTTTGTTTTTTCAGCCAGGTCTGAATGGTCCAGAAATCGAACATTAAAGGTTGGGTGGAGGAGGGGAGGTGGGGGGATCTTGTCTTCCTTTCTTAAAAGCGTTCAAGATTATCCAAGAGCACATAGACCATACCAGTTTTCAGGGACCTTTCGATTACCCTGTGTGTGCTGTCCACTTCCATTTGCATTTGTTCCTTTTCAAGGTATTTCAAATTTGTGTTCAACAATTTTGTTTTACAGAGGAACTCGGATTCAACTAGCTCGGTTTCAACGAGATGAGATAGATTCCCCTTTTTTTTTTCTTCTTTAAAATCAATAAAAATAACCCGGATTCAACGAGCACTTAAATCAACGAGCTCGGATTCAACGAGGTCGCTTCCAGGGTGAACAGCCCCCGCAGACGTGGCTTCGCTCATTTTCCTCCCAGAACGAACTTTCTCCATTCCCAGAAACCATCCATTGCCCCTGCATTGTGAACCATTCTTCACATAGCCGATTGCATGGGACCAATCAGCGGCCTTCTTTCCATACCAACACATGCATTGTTGGCACGGGCACATGTCTACTCTAGCGGATGTCGGGGTCGTATGGGCGGCCTGCACACATGTGGCTGTGTGTGTGTGTCGGGGGGGGGGGGGGGGGCACTGGCGGTCCAGGCGTTGAATGTCGCAGAGATACAAACATGTCACAGTCTTTTTTTCCCCTCGGCAACTGATCATTATTACAATGATAAGGTAGTCTTGACATTGATCTACGTAATGAATTGTGCGCTGGTCTGTGGAATCAAAAGTTGCTGTTTGCTAGGCTCTGCACAGCAACACAAGTTTTTGGTAAACAATCGAGATGACACAGGCTTGTGCATTTTTTTTTTGAGTGACAAATTAAGTATTAATACCCGGCACGGATTAACTAATCAATTATTCAAGAATGGTACATGACTGACTCAGCAAGGGGCGCACACTTAAAGTTAATTAAGTAACGCGAAACGTCGCGATAAAAATAAATTCCACTAGTTGTACCGAATGTGAAATAAGCGCCCCTTAGCTGTCAATCATTTGCTTTTTAAAAAATCATTCGTCAGTAGCTTTAGCCACAATTTAGCGACTTGGTCGAGTCAGTATTAACCTATTCTTTGATGCCTTACGCAAACTGCCTTCACAAAATCTTGTGGCTATCGATAGGGTTCGATCTTAGTCGAAGTTAGCAAAGGTTATTTTGGTGTTACCCTCCTGTCAGTTTTGACAAAGGCCACAGTTGTGTGGGTCACGCCACCTATGCGACAGGTAAAAACCTCAACAAGCTGCTGAATCTGCGTGATTCAACCGCCCATTCGCCACCGGGCTGCAAAACTTGCACTTTAGCGGTTGAATCACGTGGAAATTGGGACTGGTGTGATGTAGGCGATTGATTTACTGAAGGATTGAAACACTTTGCAGTAATATTTGAAACTCGGCATTTTAACATAAGGTGTATCATAAGGCTGTACTGCATAAAAGGATTTTTTAAAGTGATTTTCGGAAATTTTGTCACTTATGCAGTTGAATCACACGGCTAGCGATATATAATTGTGCTGTCTGTTACATGCTCTGTGACAACTTATCGTAATACAGAATAGCAATAAAATTTGACTTTGGTGAACTCATGCAGAAAGATTATACCACACAGTCAAATGTTCAAAAAGTGAGTGGGAAAAAGTTTGTAAAGTTTTACAAGATGTTATCTTCAACATTGTAGACATTGTTGAACAAGTTGGGTCAATCAGTAGATATGTACAGTGGTTCACAGCTAGGATTTAATGAATATATACGGGTGACCAAATCAAGTGCTGTGGTAGAAAACAGATCGGCCAACTCGATTAAAGATCGGGGAAAGTTCCAACTCTTTTGCTGTAGTTTGAAAGGTGTTTGGAAATTGGTGTTTCTTGTGTTTTTATTGTTCATGTTGCTACATTGAATGTTTTGGTGTTGACCTTAGAAAATTTAGGAGTCGTTTTGAGAGAAGATTTCGACCCTGAAGAGAATGACTGTGGTACTTGTACTGATTTTGACGAAAAACGTTTTTTTTCCTCCGCTGCCAACGGCAAACTGGGCTATTGCATTGTCGGTGTCAGATGTTTGACTGGTACCTCCCCATTGACACAGTTCAGGCAATATTGTAGGCAGGGTGATGGGGAGAGGGTTGGGGGGGGGATATCTTTATTGTGTTGTCAATGTTCAGATTGCTGTAATTGTTGTTTCTGTACATAAAGTGTTTTTTTATGTGACCACAGAGACAGCTGCTAACTGACAACTGCTATGACCCTAAGGAAGAAAGGAACATCGTGAGTTGTGTGTGCACTTTTGCTGATGTTGTGTAGTTGTTGTTGTTTTTTTGTCCAAAGCTTTGGAAAATATTCATCGTTTGGATAGAAATTTTAGACCCATGGTTAGACTGTATTCAGAACCCTACTTACTTACAGTGTTTTACCAAACCCCTGCTGCCTATAGAAGTTGGAGAAAATACACATTTAGTGTTTTGGACATAATGTTGCTTTGAATTTTGGGTTCTTAGAATAAGGTTTTGTCCCGTAGACTGAAAAACTGGAATTGATTTTCAAAACGGAGGGTATCTGATAATGGTAATGGTATGCAAAACAAGGACAACATGATTTCATTGCGAGATTGGCAACTTTTTAAAATGAATATAAGTCCATTATTTGTGGCCCATAAATATTTCAGAAGTGAGCTGACTGTAAGTTGTAAGTGTAGTAACGTACTTACCAGAGGAGGTTTTCAGGTGAGAAGAGAGGCTTTTTGCTTTGGTTCAGATGTGTATACATGTTTGGAAGCGAAAAGTCATGTGTTGAGACAGCACAGAACCAAAGATCAGATAGTTTTGGAGTCTTATTTATAATACGAGGGACGTCCAGAAAGTAAGTACCGTTTAAAAATAATTATAGAGATAATTTTCCCAATCAAAACGATTTATTTTTTAATACCTCATATATATGACTACTTCTCCTCGTAGTCACCAGAACTGTTGAGGCATTTGTCGTAGCGTGGGATGCGCGTCTGAATGCCCTCACTGTAGAAAGCTGCCGCCTGCGTTGTCAGCCAATGTCCTGTCTCTCTTGTGAGATCAGTGTCTGAGTCAAAGTCCTGCCTGTCCAAAAACTTTTTCAGATGCAGGAACAGATGAAAGTTACTTGGAGCCAGGTCTGAGCTGTACAATGGGTGCTTCAACTGTTCCCATCAGAAGGAGGCGATCAGCTTTTGGGTCTGTGCAGACTTGTGAGGATTTTCATTGTCGTAAAGCAGAACAACGCCGTGGCTAAGCATTCCGCGTCTTTTGTTTTGAATCGCTCTACCCAGTTTTTTAAGTGTGTTGCAGTACACATCAGAGTTAATTGTCATCTCATTTCCCAAAACTTCTACTAGAAGAACTCCTTGCCTGTCCCAAAAAACTGTACACATGACTTTTTTTCCTGACACGGCCTGCTTGAACTTTTTTGGCTGGAGCAAATCCGCATCGACTGCTGCTTTGACTCGGGCGTGGAGTGGGGCAATCAGGTTTAATAACGGAGGCCTCGGTTTCATCCCTCGTCACAATAGTACGAGTAGGAAAGCCATCTCCTTCGTCATTGTAACGTGTCAGGAATGTCAATGCGCTGGCAGCCCATTGATCTTTATGCTCTTGTGTCAGCTGCTTAGGTACCCAGCGTGAGCACACCTTTCGATAACCCAAATGGTCAGTGACATTTCACGCAGAAGCGGCCTTGAAATCTCAGAAAAGTTTGAAGAGAATGAGGAAAGGGTAAAACGCCGGTCTTCCTTTACCTTTTTATATCAACTTTGTTCATCAAATCATCACGGACCTAAGATGGACGCCCCGCACCATGCTTTCACCCATTGCATTTTCACCACAACTTCAGAAATCTGATGTCACTAGGCTTCATGATCTTTGCTGTCAGAAAACGAATAACTGACCAAATTTCACTGTCAGTGTAATTTTCAATCTTGGAAGACATGTTGAAGCTTCAAAAGGGTGTGGGATGTTTGATACAAAATGTGGCTGTGTAAAGTGGCAGGGAAAGAACTGGATGAGATGTTTTACAAGCGTTGTAGATTGTTGTGTACAACGGCAAGATGGAAGCTGAGGGCTCTTTCCAGTTCAGTATTTAACACATCAACTCACTGTGGTGTAAAATTGGGAATATCCTAACCCAGTTCATTTCTGCACGTCCCTCGTAATAGTAATAATGATATATAACATTTATATAACGCATTTCCAAAAAAAAGAAGCTCAGTGCACTTTCTCAGGGTTGTGAATTGGAAAGACATTATTGTTACTGAGAGGTGGATCAAAAGTGAATTGTGTGTGATTGTCTTACTGTGACAGTTTGCCTGAGCCTGCATGGTAAGTCAAGGAAGGGTAATCAGTTTGTGAGTCTGCATGGTAAGTCAAGGAAGGGTAATCAGTTTGTTAGCCTCATGGCAAGTCAAGGAACAGTAATCAGTTTGTTAGCCTCATGGTAAGTCAAGGAACAGTAATCAGTTTGTTGGCCTGCATGGTAAGTCAAGGAACAGTAATCAGTTTGTTAGCCTGCATGGTAAGTCAAGGAACAGTAATCAGTTTGTTAGCCTGCATGGTAAGTCAAGGAACAGTAATCAGTTTGTTAACCAGAAAAGTGAGGTATAGTATCCACTGAGGGATCACAGCTCTAAAAATAGAAATCTCATGTGTTATGGCGGGTCAACTAAGAAATAGTTGACAACTTTCCAGTGATCAGTTGCGTGCGAACTCGATAGAAATCTTGCGTCGATTTGTTTTTATGGAAGATATTTTGTCATTACGTGCAGACGTATTGACTTTTTTTATTTCACCCAAGCAACAGGAGACAGGTCTCAATGGCATGTTGTTGGGTTTTTTGGTGCGTGAGTTGAATTTACAATTTTGGTGATTTTATAGTTGCTCGTGGAATTTAATGTTAAAAGGGATGTGTCCGAACTGAGAAAAAGAAATTGTATTCCCTACACATCTGTGTGTATGTGTGCTGGTAAAATGTACGCAGTGTGACCCATGTATGTATAACACGCAGGTGATGTTTTTTACACTCTTTTTCTGAATCACACGTAGTGGAGTTAAAATACATGGATTAGTATACATCTATGAGGATGCAAATCTCAAATTCAAAGTTCTCTCAAAAAACAAAATGGTCAAAGCGCTAAAAAAAAAGAGCAAGCAAAATTTGGAAAGCTCACAGTGTACAGTAGTGCAGGACACTAAATGCTCAGTCAGTTTGAACTGGTCATTGACATTTTTATTCTGCCGGAGAGCTTTGAAAGTAAGTAAGCGCTGATTTGTAAAACGTACATTTTACTGAAGAAACTTCTGTGACAATAGTGTAAATCATGTCATAAGCCACACCCATAGCAACAACATTTTAGATTGCGCTTACATAAAGTTTCCATGATAAACAGTTCACATTGTACACACACCTCTTCTCATGGGTCAGACGTTATAGCATATCTCCATCACTGGCCTTATTCAGGGGGGCGGTTGGTTAACAGTTTCCTTTGATGGACAAATTTGAACACTAAAAAATGAAGTGAAATTCCTTTTCAATTTCGTGGGAGGTACACCATTATTCACATGAAATTGAATTTACACAGTTCACATTGTACACACACCTCTTCTCATGGGTCAAACGTTATTGCATATCTCCATCACTGGCCTTATTCAAGGGGGGGGGTGGGGGGGGGGGTTGGTTAACAGTTTCCTTTGATGGACAAATTTGAACAATAAAAAGTGAAGTGAAATTCATCTTCAATTTCGTGGGAGGTACACCATTACTCACATGAAATTGAATTTACTCATTTCCACCGTTACAGATCATTATTTTATTTTTCCAGCAACACCACACTGAGGTTGATATGACAATGAGCGAGCCAGCAAGTGGAAACACGGACGTTGTGTGTGGTGTGTAAGGATTGGAGCGAGGACCGAGGTTCCCATGCTGAGCCAGACGGTGTGGCTTGTCTGGGAGGGTGCGGAGGGGAAGGATTCAAGGATTTTTTTTTTCTTTTTGTTCTTTTTATGATTGTTGAAGATTTTGAATTACACTGCAACTGCAAGTGCTATTGAGACAGTGTGATAATCTGTAGGATCTATTTTCTGTATGTTTTTTAATAAATGTGCCATCGCCATCAGCAGATTAGTCTTCCCACGGACAGTCAGTGATGTTATAACTTACTTATTACCCAGACCAACAATAGTAAAGTGGTCTTTGTCTAGGAACTCAATTGTTAAGCGACACAAAAATGGGTTCTAATGCAGGAACTCTTATGTCGAGGTCAGCGAGATTCATAAAGTCCGTAATGTGTTGACGTGACGTTCCCCACCGAGCATTTTTAAGAGCAGTAGACGACTTGCACAGATAGCAGTCGCACCGTAGAGTTCATGTCAGCTTCTGCCTCAGATCACACCTCATGTTGTTATATTCCTTCAAAACTGGTTAAAGTTAAAGACTGACCTGGTTAATTCATAATTAATGCTTTTCCATTTTGTGCTGTTTTAGACCTGTATCAAAGATGGCAGCTCTTCCTGTGCCTCCCGCGTAAGGTGATCTATTTTTTACAATGTTTGTACTTATCATGTAAATTGTACTCAGTGGTAGTGTTCACTGACAAGTTTGCCGAAAGTATTGTTCAACATTCTCACAGAGTCTAGCGCACACATAGCCAAATCAGCAGGGTATGGAAATATTTTTGTTACATACAAATTCCGCCATGTCCGTGTTTTAAGTGAAAAGAACATACAATGTAGGAAAAAAATTTGGAACCTGAAAATCTGTTTGTTATGTGTGTGTGCTGGACTGCAGTCGTCTTTCACGACGCCAGTGAATGGGAAGCTCAATTTCTGACTTGTTCAGGCTGGGACACAGGCGGCCGACGAAAGCTCTCATCAAATCCCGATCCTGAGCCAGTTTCCCCAGTTGTCCCCAAGTATGCCTCAATTTCCCTTTGTCCTCTGCCCCTCTCAAGGCCATTTGTTCTTTGGTTGGCCTTGCTTTCTTTTGTCTTGCGGATTCCAGCCTAGGGCTTGCCTTGTGATGCTGACTGTTGGCTTTCTCATCCTGTGACTGATCCATCTCCACCGTATTGTACTTAAATCTGAGCTTTGCACAAAATCTTTAATTTTACATAGTGATATCTTGCGGATGCAGCAGGAAAAACTTTTCTCTGTACTACTTCACTGTCCGCGGTGAGCCAAGAAATTCAAACTCTCTTTCTTTGCTTGCAACAATTGTGACATTTTGGTCTTGTACGATGCTTTATCAAACTTTTCTCTGCCAAAACTGATCTCAGTGGCCATACCAGAAGCCAGAGGCCATGTTAATTTTTAATTCTGCTATTTTGCTAGAGAAATATTCTCCTCTGCTGATGCATTGGTCATTGCCAGATATTGATACTTATTATTACAAAATTTTACGAGACTTTTCTTGTGTTGTTGTGATATGTCTTTTTGAGCTGCTGTAAATTTTCTTTCGTCCTCTATGCAAAGTTGTGAAGTATTTATTTAATATTAAGTGAAGCATTCCTTCCTTTAGCAATTTTACAGTCTGTGTCAGTGATGTCAAAACAAAATGCTACAACGAAACTATGTTTACACTTGAGCAAGTTTTCTTGTTTTTAAAGAGAGCCATAAATTTTTTAGGAACATTTTATTGTAAATTCATTTGTATTTTGTACATTTCCCTTGAGTGACTTAGGAGTTAATTGTGTTTCCTCTCTGACATTTTTTAATGAAATGTTGGTGCAAAAAGTGTAGTTTGTTTGGAATTTTATTCTGTATGTTCTCATAGTTCTCTATGTACTACAACCCACATCCAATGAATGCCTACAAGTCTTAATATGTGATGTCAATATGGAGAGCACTGTAAGGTTTCATCTTGATTGTGGTGGAAAGTTTTGCTTGTTAACCCTATCTGTACGCCTTGGGGTCATTTTGTACCCCCAGGGTTGTATTCTTCACATTTTAGAATACTTCTATTACGAAGATCTCTTCGAAACTTTCAGTATTTCTCAAAAAATCATTTTGACAGACTGCTATGCAAAGCGTACGGATTGGATTAACGAGTAAATTTCTTCTTTGGAAAGTAGTGGCACAGAGTTCCCCACGTCGTAGGGTTACAATAGTAAAACACAACGTACGGATAGGGTTAAGTGGTGGTACAGAGTTCCCCACGTCATATGGATACGATAGTATAACAAGACTTCCCACCTGCACACGTACAGAATGACTCAAATCAGACATTTTTAAGTTGAATTATCCCTGCACATGCAATGATTAATTTGCATGTAAAAATATATTAATATATACTCTTTTTTTTATAACAGTAATGGTATTTATCCTATACAAAGTTGTGAAGTACAGTCAGGACTGACACATGTGTTCGACTCGTCCATAATTCCGGTAAACAGTATAATTATAATGAAAGAAATAAAGAGCTTTCACTGGGGAACAGCAAATTGTAGGAGCCATCTGTGATTTTGGGTTTTCCATGTTCGCATTATCTGTGCCCGGCTGTATTTAATATAAAGTGAAACATTCCATGTTTAGTTTTAGCCATGTTGCTTTCAGTGTCTGTGATGTAGATGTCGAAGCAAACTGCTTCAGTGAACTTGTGAAATTATTCTTTTTCTTACAGAGTATGATGTGGTTTTGGGAACATAAAAAATTTTATATATGTATATATATATTCATTTATAGAATTTTTACTAATAAATCAAATTTTATTCTCCACAAGACTTATGAGTTCATTTTGTTTGCTCACTAGACATGTATATTTTCTGAAAATGAGTGCGGAAAGGGCATGACTTGATAGACCTGTATCTCTTCAAAATACTTTTTCGCTCGCATTATAAAAAAAAACAGTACCATGGTCTATTGCGGCAGCATCCGTGCGGGCAATGTTCCGCAGCTGCAGGTGGTGCTGTGTGGGCTGTGTTGGTCAACTTGTTCTGCCCCTTGATGATGGTCTCTGGCACTCCCCCCCCCCCCCCCCCCCTTTGCCCCGGGGCAGTGCTACAACTGACTGACTGAAGCTGCCTTTAGAAAGGGGGATATTTAAAATGTTCTTTTGGACAGTAGAATTGTAAATTTGGTGGCCTAGTGGTTAGGCTCTCAGACTCGCAACCGTAAGGTCGTGAGTTTGAATCCCGTCAGGGGCCGGACGTTGTGTCCTTGGGAAAGGCACTTTGCACAAATTTTCCTCACTTCACCCAGGTGGGAATGGGTACCCGGCTATAGAGAGTGAAAGATCTTGTCAGTTTGTTAGTGTTTGAGCGCTTAATCAGCTGCATGCACTGTATGCTTCCCGGGAAGCTGAGAATGTTTCGGAGTGTTCTATGGTCTGCTGGGGTAATAATATAGTGTAAAGCGCGTAGAGCCTGCTGTTGAGCGGGGATATGCGCTATACAAATGCTATATTTATTATTATTATTATTAAATGGGCTGATTAATCAATGTCATGCTCATACTGTGCCGGAACAGCAATGGGGGAACTGCTGCTTTTTCTTTCCTAATCCTTACTATCGTCATTTTTCCTCTACTTCTTTTGTATGTTTGTCACTCTCTTGTGAACTGCTATTTGGTATTCGAAACAGACTTTGTGCTGTTGAGGCAAGAGAGGTGAGCAGAGTAAGCCTGATTCCCCTTTTGGACTTCTCTGTTGACATCCAGCCCTTGGCGCTCATATGACCTTATGCAGTTGCGAGTGCTGTAAAACCTTACTACCCATTAGGGCAGTGCCACTGACTGTAGTGTCTTTAGGCCATTCCCAAAGGGGGGACATTTCTCGTTCATGCACAGTAGAATTATAAATGGGCTGATTCATCAATGTCATGCTCATAACTGTGCCTGATCTACAACAGGGAACTGCTGCTTTTTCTTTCCTAATCCTTACTATTGTCATTTTTTCTCTACTTCTTTTGTATGTTTGTCACACTCACACTCTTGTGACCAACTATTTCCGGGGTGCCTTGATAGTCGAAGCAGACTTTGTGCTGTTGAAGCTAGAGAGGTGAGCAGAGTAAGTCTGATTCCCTGTAAGGACTTCTCTGTTGACATCCACCCCTTGGTGCTCATATGACTTTATATGCAGTTTCGAACGCCATAAAACCTCTACTAAAACTTAACTAAAAACCTTACTAAAGCTAACAGCCGATGGTCTCTGGCATCTGTGCTGTAGTGGTTAGGCGTTTTGCCGTGGCACGCAGGAGACTCCAGTTTTGATTCTCATGTGGGGAGAAATGTTATCGTATATGATCTCTGTCATTCTTTTTGGGACATTGATTCCCTCTCAGCCCGGGTTGACCCGACAGGCAGAGTCAAAGCCCGCCTCCTAAATGACCTAAATTCTGTTGGTGGGGGTCTAATTATCTGCATTTTAAAAAAGTGAAAATGGTCGTTTTTTCTCAAGTTCTAAAGCTGATCTAGGTGGTGTAGGTATATATAATGTACAAACACACCTTACGAACATCAGTGCACTTTCATGGAGGTTAGCACTCCTTCCATTCTCTCGCTTTCCAAAGAAGGGGGGGGGTGTGTCTTGTTCTTACATGTGCCATGCAGCGAAGGTACCCCAGCCATCTGAATTTGCATTACATAATAATGATAATACTTCTAATAATAATAATAATAATAAATAACAACTTTTTTAACATTACAAAAACCTCAGTGCTTTCTTGTCCTATCTCCATTTTTTTTTTACATTAAAAATGTGACTTCTTCTTAAGCTCACTTTTTGTTATGAACTGTTTTCACTGTTATAAAAAATGGAGATAGGACAAAAAAGCACTGAGGTCGCGAATAACAAAAATAATGTATATTGATAATAATAAGAAGAAGAAGAATAGCATTTGTACAGCACATTCCCTGCTCCACAGCAAGCAGGAGGCTCTTGTGGTCTAGAGGTACGATGTTCACCTCTAAGGCAATAGGTCCGGGGTTCGAAACCTCACAGCAACAGAAAATTTTCTTCTCTGGAAAAAGGTTCTCCTATCACCGGTCACCTCCTTTCCTGTTCTCTAATCAATACTAATCATGTTCTGTGATCTGCTTTCCTCTCCATTTTTTGACTCCTCCCCCCCCCTTTCCCATCCCTTTGGGCTCCTGACTCTTTCTACTGCCACTCCTGGCTCCTTAATCGTACTGCTATCTTTCAGCCACACTCCTAATCTTAGGGTAGGTAAGGTCGAACACCTAGCCTTCTCGGATATGGGAGAAAAAATATTGGAGGTCCCATGTGCAAGTTGCGCACGTTAAAGATCCCATGGTGGTCCTAAAAACTATAAGAATTGGCATCGGCCACCACCAGGGCAAAAATTCAAAATTGATTCCAACCCAACTGAAAATACTTCAAGTGTCCCGCGCTCTCATATGACCCAATGCAGTTGCGAGCGTCGTAAAACACTTACCAAAACAAACAAAAACAGCAAGTTCTAACTCTAAACGCTTTGCATTCTGTGTGTGAAAACAAAGCAAAGCGCCTGACCACTGCATCAAAGAAGATAGTCTGCTTGCAGCGGCTCCACCCCACTACACACTATCAATGGAGGCTCCACCCCACTACACTACACACTATCAATGGAGGCTCCACCCCACTACACACTATCAATGGAGGCTCCACCCCACTACACACTATCAATGGAGGCTCCACCCCACTACACTACACACTATCAATGGAGGCTCCACCCCACTACACACTATCAATGGAGGCTCCACCCCACTACACTTCACACTCTCAATGGAGACTCCACCCCACTACAAACTATCAATGGAGGCTCCACCCCTCTACACTACAAACTATCAATGGAGGCTCCACCCCACTACACACTATCAATGGAGGCTCCACCCCACTACACACTATCAATGGAGGCTCCACCCCACTACACTTCACATTCTTAATGGAGACTCCACCCCACTACAAACTATCAATGGAGGCTCCACCCCACTACACTTCACACTCTCAATGGAGGCTCCACCCCACTACACTACACACTATCAATGGAGGCTCCACCCCACTACACACTATCAATGGAGGCTCCACCCCACTACACACTATCAATGGAGGCTCCACCCCTTTACACACTATCAATGGAGACTCCACCCCTCTACACACTATCAATGGAGGCTCCACCCCACTACACACTATCAATTAAGATTCCACCCCACTACACACTATCAATAGAGACTCCTCCCCACTACACACTGTCACTGTCAGTGTCAGCACAGGCCACACCCAAAAGACAGTTTCAACAGACAACATTATGAAATTGAAAAAACTCTCTTTAAAAAAGTCACACGAACATTTGAACTAACATCTTGCCTTTTTGAAAGATGTTAGTTCAACAGATGTTAGTGTAACTTTTAGTCCCAAAGCCGGAGACAGGGGTTTGAACCCTAGCTAGGGAGTCTTCATCAACATCAAACAAGAAATGGACGTTAACCCATTGGTCATGCTTCTCAAACGACCTTCATTGTTCAGCACAGAGAATCAAATTAAAACAACAGGCAACAATAACAGGGGAAAAAAAGGGGAAAAAATACCATGGACAAGTTCTAGTGAAATACATTATAATGCATGTAAATGTAATAAATAACTCGTGTTAAGATGTTGCTTTGAGTTCAGATATAACGAAGAAGTCAAGGTGCCCAACAACTGCCACTCTGGATGTAATTTGAGGTCAATAATACTGCACTATAAAGACACTATAAAGTTATACAGGCTTACACTCTTCTAACCTGTAAAACATCCTTTAAATTCTACCCTGTAAAACATTCTATAGCCTACATTCTAACTGCAAATCCTCGGGCATTGCGCCGGTGTTAGCGCCTAAAGATGGTAAGTCATGATCCTTTTGGTTTTAGCTCAGAGCACCCTTAACGTATTGGCTGTAAATTAAATTTAAAATTCCTTTTGTCTTGGGGCATCATTAGCAGAGAGTTCAGTAATTTCCTGATGATGAAAAGAGGGTGGGCATTCTGTAAATAGCGTAGGCCTACTTTGACAAACACACACACACTAGGCCTACTTTCACACACACACACACACACACACACACACACACACACACACACACACACACAAAAACACACACAAATCTTAAGTGTCGTGCTGCAAATTAGATTTAGGTCATGAATATGGTCGCTGGTGGCCAAGAACCACAGAGATGACTTATAAGTATCAATGGAAATGGTTGGACATGAACGGAGCATTCCTACGGGGAAACTATGTGCTAGATAGGTTAGCTGTGATCACAAGCCCAATTAAATCATAGCATAGCAAGTCATTTCTTTCTTTTGTGAATTACAATTGTGTGGAGATATATGATAATGTGGAGCCTGTTGGCTAAAACTGCAGATTCAGGTCATTAACATCTTCTAATTCTAGGAACATTTATTATAACAGGTATCTAGAGGAAAAAACACAAGTGAACGTTTTTATTATGATACAGTATTACATGGAGAAATATATTTTCAAGTGGCTTCATTTGGTCCACTTTAATTAACTTGATGGGATGGCGTTCAGTGTAAAAGTAACCCCCAGTGACTCTGAAGACACCACTTACCCACAAGCTCAAAGATCGTGACCTTTTGACAATGTAGTCATGGTTCATTGCATGAGGCGCATCTACTCTTACAGCACACAAAACTGGGTTCCGTTTGCTGGGTAAACATTCTTGCTCATTTCTTTCATCTTTCATTCTTTCCTTGTTTTATCAAATCTTGCCAAGTCAGCCAGAAGAAATGACACAAAACCAACGATTTAGTACAATGTACCCAATGCACACTGCAAATCAAATTCATTTGACCCGAGTGAAGGCCAGCCAGGTTTTCATCCATGGAAGGAAAATGCTACAATGTTGGCACAGCGCGACCGATTCGACTCCAAACTTTGAAAAACAAAGGCGTTTGGCTTTCAAGGTCACGATCAGATTTTTTCGAAATCAGTTGAATTGTGCAAAAATGGTATCTTTTGCCACTTCTTGGAATAAAATCAGACTAGCCCCAACTCGATCAATAAATGAATTCGATTGGTACTGTGCACTCAGTATAATAATGATAATACATGTAACGATAGTTCGTCCATCAATCTCTGATGATAGCCAATGCAACTGCAGAGGATAATAATATTCTTAAGAGAAATAGATAAAATACAGATAAAGATGACTTGTGACTTTTGCACTCGGTATAAGAACGTGCACACTCTAAAACCCCCACAAAATTTCCTACCAACTGAAAATATTTAATGTGTCCCGTGGGCTCATATAACCTTATGCAGTTGCGATCGCCATAAAACACTTTTTAAAAAAACAATAACAAAATCCCCAGCCCTTACACGAAGCAGCCAAAGGGTAAAATCCCCAGGGGCGTGTTTGACAGGTTCTGTCCCCGTGATTTTATGCACCCCGCATAATTTAGCAAAATTTGATCACTTTTGGCATAATATCTGATTATTTTCCTTTATCATTCTTTGTTTTTAAAAAAAAGAATCGCATAATTTCACATTTTTTGGGTTCAGTTTGCATAATTTCAGAATTTTTTTGCTTAAAACGACGGGGACAGGACAGGTTAGATCCTAGTACATCAGACAGTCCCAGACAGGATAACCCTCTGGCTAACAATATATGAGCTCCATCTGCCTGCTGTCTGCAAATTGAAAGCGGTTGAAGGATGCAAAAGTATAACTATACTGCACCTGCCATTCCGTCGTCTTCGGGGATTGACCTCATGCGATACAATGGTGCTGTCAAAGAAGCAACTATTGGCACTGCTGTTGTATTTGCAAAAAAGATGGTGCAGTAGACACCGATCAGTGTTGATTCATCTTTTACAGAGATAGTTAAACAAATGTGAATATCATCACTAAATGACCCACTTGCGACATGATACTCAAAAGTTCAAAGAGTAATTTCGAATGGATCCATCAACATTTGACTATTTAACACACACATGCTCATAAATCGCAAATCTTTCACACTCGGGGGAGGGGGGGGGGGGTTCGGGTACGCTGAGCTCAAATCTAATCTTCTTTAAAATGCGAATTGACGCAATTTTTGACATTTTAGACTTTGATTTTTCCTGTCCTGGCTGCAGCGATGACTCATTTCCTGTCTTGGACCGGCCATCCTGACGGACAGAATGCTGCATGTGATAATCAAACCCGGCTGTCTCCAAACAACGTCTGCAAGTTGGACTTGGTATAAAAGGCCCATCCGTCAACTCTTTGTCTCATTAATAGTAACCTTGGCACGCTGCATTTTGTCCATCACTTTGTTGTCTTCAAACTGGGCTTAGTAGATTTTTGGCCTTACACGCTTGTTGGTTATTGTGTCGCGCCGAGGTGGAATCAGGCGCTCGTCAGTTTTGGGGCATATATATAGAGTTACAATATCATCTACTACCTTCTTTATTTGTCTCCCTTTCATTTTTGAAAAAATACTCATCCACTTGAATAGAAGTCAAGATATTTGCCATGAAGGAGGGTGGGTTGTTTGGCGTCATTGGTAAAATTAGCAAGAAAATGGTTGACAAAGTTTGATGACTTCCAAATTTGAGCGTCCTTGGAAACTGGAAATTGACATTTTTGTACCTTTCATCAACATATTTCCGTCAAAATCATACAGAAATGTGCTCGTAGATGGAAATAAAGGGTGAAGAACCACAGGGAAAAATAATAATATTTGAAATATGATAAAAATTGCCCAACGGCGGTGGGAAAGCGTCGGTGTCTTTGATTTCATTATTTGACGAGCCCTGATTTCACCACAATGCCACACAGTTGGTTGCGTTGACCCTAAAAGTGCCAGTTGTTGGGGGGAAGTTGCTTTTGAGGAGTCCACTGAAAATACGGGCATAGTCACGAACTTAAAATCATAAGGGTATCAATTTTGAACACTTGTTGACTCATAACTGTATTTCTGTTCAGCTTTTGGTTGATTATTGTTGTTAGATTTCCCATCCAACAAACATATAAAATAAACCGTCAGCCAAACAAATGAAATTATGAGTCTACAAGCTTTTAAAATTGACACCCTCACAATTTCCAGTTTGTGACTACGCCCGTTTTATCAGTAGACTCCTCCTTTGTTCACCCCTGCAAGCAGAAACACAGCAATATTATGTTTCCTAGAACAGAAGCTGTCATCACCAGACATTGCACTTCTTCTCAGGGTTCATAGGCGACCCTTTAGGGCAGTTGAAAGCCTTGGCAAAATCTTCAGAGTTCTGGACAGAGCCGATTACCCTGGGGGAAGATATAAATAATAATGATAATAAAGATAACAATTATAACAGTAATTTCAACTACTATGACTACTACTACTACTATTAGTACTACCACCACCACTACTACTACTTCTACTACTACTAATACTAATAATAATAATCATAATAATGATAATAGTAATAGTAACAGTGGTAGTGATAGAAAATAATAATAAAAATAATTTAAGATAAAAAAATAAATGAATAAATAAAAATAATAATAATAATAATAGTAATAATAATAATAATAATAATATTAAGGATAAAGATAATAATAATGATAAAACAATATGACGATGACTAATGTATCAGCAGAGCAAAATAATATTCTTAAGAGAAACAGAAGAAATTATTTTGGGTTAAGGCAACTTGTGGCTTCTGTGACTGTGATCATTTACTCACAAACATCTATCTGTCACTGGAAACGAGAAAAAGAGTACTGAAAAGTTACATCGAGCTAATCCTATTATACGGGTGCGAAGCATGGACAATCAATAAACAGCTGGATAGAACAACTGTGGCGACAGAGTTGTGGTTCATAAGACGCAATCTACGTATCCCATGGACAGCTAGAAAAACAAACAAAGAAGTCTTGGTTGAAGCAAATTGCAGCAGACAGCTTATGATGAATATACAAAAGCGACAGGCAAATTTCTTCGGACACACAATGCGGAAAGAAGCATTGGAGAATATTGTAACAATAGGCAAGTTTGATGGAAAGAGAGGCAGAGGCAGACAGATGGAAAAGATACTGGACAAGATGACAGCATGGCTGGGAGCAGCAAGAACAACAGACACCATTGCTGCAACACAAGACAAAGTGAAGTGGAAGTCCATGATCGCCCTCGCCAGTCGGCAAGGCACCGGATGATAATGATGACTATGAAAAATTCTAGCAGAAAAGAGTTTGCCACACGTTGGGCTTTATTTTGAAAAGCTTCCGTTCCACTTATAGTAGGTAAGTGCAGCTTGCAGGTTTGACTTTTACTCTTTAGCTTCTGTGGCTAAGTGAGCAGTGAGTTCAGATTCAAGTAATGTCTAGCAAGTGTCAATGACACGTTATTCGTGTGATGTTCAGTCAACTTAATTTAATCAATGGAGAGTCAGAAGAGTGAGTTTCAACAGATAGGTTGTGTTTAATGTTTACTCACAGGACAGGAAGTAGTTCGACTGTTAGGACGTAGTTCTATCCTTAGGTCAACTCGAGTAACTTCACAATGACTAAATACATGTAACAACATGGGGTTTAGATGGGTGGTCACTGGGGTGTGTCCTTGAGCAAGACACGACAACCCAAGCTCAAAATACAGGGCGCTGTACAGTGGCGACTGGCAATGGCATGGTTGTAAATTGTTCTGTATTGCTTATATTTATATTTGTATGTTTTGTGCACTTATTTAATGCGTGTGTGTGTGTGTGTGTGTGTGTGTGTGTGTGTGTGTGTGTGTGTGTGTG